TGACATGCTGTTCATCTGCAGATAGAATGATTAAAGTCAGAACAAGATTTGCTAAAAACAGTCATTCTTAGATATCACTTTGTCTTTGTGTGTTCCATTGACCTTGTATCAAATCTTGCTAAGATGACATTATGGTGTTTGTTAATACACACACACACTCACATACAGTATATATTTACAGTATATGTATTCATTGTAGAACCTCACATGAGTCCCTCCACTCAATGGACCCCAAGACTTTGCGCTGCGTCAGTGTCCACCATTGACCTTGTATCAAATCTTGCTAAGATGACATTATGGTGTTTGTTAATACACACACACATATATATACAGTATATATTTACAGTATATGTTTTCATTGTAGAACCTCACATGAGTCCCTCCACTCAATGGACCCCAAGACTTTGCGCTGCGTCAGTGTCCACCCTCTCCAGATGCACTACTTTGCAGTGGCAGAAAGCAGGTTGGCTCACTCTTTTCCTTTCAACTCACAGATCTCTAATTAGTCCTTTTTGTCATTAAACAGATGTTTTGTTTCTGTTTTCAGGGTGGTGAGTATTTATGACAGCAGGCACCTGAAGAAGACCAAAAACCACGCAGTGTCCCACCTGCACGGCCACACTAAGAGCATAGCCAGCGCCTACTTCTCACCGTGCACCGGGAACAGAGTTCTTACCACTTGTATGGACGACTGCATCAGGTAATCAACATCTTTTACAGGACGGCTGGTAGTGCTGAGTGGGATGACCATATCTGATGTGTAAACCTGTGTGTTTATAGTTTTTAATGATTAAGAGGGAAACTGCTGCAGTAAAGTTACCTACTACACACTTACTAACATCATTAAGCTAGTTTTGATGGATGAGCTATGCTAACGTTAACAAACATTAATTTACAGCGCTTTGCTGCATCTGTATTTATTCTCCCTCTTGCTGTCTCTTTATTTTACAAGCCATGGCAGGTTTGTGTGTCTCTGCTGTGAACAACAGCCTCAGAAAAAGAAAGGAGGGTTCTTGTCTGTCTGATGCCTGACTGAGCCACAAATGTCATCAGTGGTTAGCACTGACGCCTCACAGCAAGAAGGTCCCGGGTTTGATCCCGAGTTCAGACCTGGGCTCTTTCTGTGTGGAGTTTGCATGTTCTCCTTGTGCTTGTGTGGGTTTTCTCTGGGTACTCTGGTTTCCCCCACCCCCCAAAACATGTACAATAAGTTGTCTTCAGGCCCAGGCCACCCTTGAAAAAGAGATCTGAGATCTCAACGCAACTTGCCTGGTTAAATAATGGTAAATAAATATAGTAAAATAAATGGATTTTTTTTTTTAATCTAGTGCGACCTGAACCTGACCTGTAGTGCTGGGCAATATACCATTTCATACCGAATACCGTTTTTTAGTTTTGCTATGAAATGAATTTTCTGAATCTCAACATACCGGTTTAAATAACCTGAACATGTGCGGAACGTTTTGTCGGGGCCGCCAGTGAACTGTTTCCTGGGGGACACTTTTCTTCGCAGCACCGCTAAGTGCGTTAGCATGCTAATGTAATGTTGAGCAGTTTGTTGCAGTGGTGGGTGGCGATTCGGCTGCTTGTATTGGCTGACGTAAAAAAACATCCCGTTTTCACCATCGCTGAATGTAGTAAACACCTCTTCAGTGACGTGCACAGTTAGATTTAACACGCGACGTTAATATGGAGACGCATGGAGACTTTAACATGCTTCTATTGTGAAAAGCCCAGGGGGTTGTAGCTTTGTAGTAGGGGTGTCCCGATACCAGTTTTTTCAAGAATGAGTACAAGTACGAGTACTTCAGTTTAGGTACTTGCCGATACCGATACCAAGTAGCAGGGTTAGGGTGGTTTATCTGTTGCACTTGTTGAATATTAAACAGAATGAAAATGAAATGCAATTATCATGCAAAAATTGATGGGTAAATATGTTTGACAATAAAAAGGTAGTGCAAACTCTGACAAGTAGATAAGTTGGTATATATATATATATATCACACCATAACTTTTGAAACCATTTATTTTATTTCAAACAGGCTCTTTTTATAAGGTCACACTCCCTCTGAATGTATTAACAAWACAAATACTGCAAAACAAATGCTGTTGCATACATTAAACAACAAAATAAGTTATTTTATACATTTTCCTCAACATGCAACTACCAAATTTAAATTAAAATGTAAAACGTAAATTTTAGCAGCACATCTATAGAAGTTTACTCTGCTTCAGTCTTAAACTTAAAAAAATGACTAATAGTAATAAAGTGCAGTAAATTTCAGTTCAAACTTAAATGGAACAACTAAAACAAAATCTCAGAAGAACCAGAGGGAAAAATAAAATGTTTTTACAACAAACTTCCTTCCATATTCTGCTTATGCCTTAGTTTGTTCTACAAGAAAGAAAAAACATCATTGAAGTTACTGCAACAACTGCAGCAGAGTGCTGTTTATGAAGTCTACTGCTAGCAGCAGCAAACTCTTTGAATTCTTTGTCATGTCTTGTCCTCAAATGTTTAATCAAACTGCTGCTGTTAAAACATCCAACTTTCACTCCTCCCCTCGACAGTTAGCAGAGCACAGCAGACAGTCTGCTTGTTTGTGTCCTCCGTTCCGATCTTAAATATCTCCAAACTGCCGACATGTTACTACTTCTTCTTCTTCTTCTTCTTCTTCTCATCGTTCTTCTTCTGTTATTCGGGGGTGCGGTCGGAAATAACTTGTCAGTGCGTTAGCGCCCCCGCCTGGTATGGATTGTTATTTACCCTTTGTGCTGCAGCGCAGCACAGGAGGAACAAAAAAGGGGACAAAAGCGGTATCGGTTAAGAGTATCGGCCGGCTTTTACGAGTACGAGTACGAGTACTTGATGCTGGTATCAGATAAGATACCAGCATCTTGCACACCAGTCAACTCAACTCTGCTACTTTGTAGCAGAGTTGAGTTGACTGGTGTGCAAGGTGAGTCGTCTCGTCCTGATAAGTTTTATTAAATAACATAAAACAATAAACCCGATCATAATCTTTTCTTAACCCTCCTCCTTCACGACTGGACCAAAATGCATGACTACTGTCTCCAACCACCAGTCAGAGAAAAGACACATAGGAGGGAAACAGAGACAGAGGTACAGTAAAAGAGAAAAGTTAATAAACAGTGTTTGTACATTTTATTATCAGCTGAGCTGTGATGAAAAGAAAAATACTGTGAAACCGGTGTAAATGTTGAAAATACCGTGGTATAAAATTTTGGTCATACCGCCCAGCTCTACTGACCTGAACCGCTAGACACAAATGTAGCAACCTTTTCTGGTGATTTTGGAGACTTTGGCGGCAGCACTTTCCTCAGCGAGTGGTGCCGCCCATTAGCCCCTCCCCCTTTCCAAAACACTGACTTCACGTGCAGCTCCCCCCAACGTCAGAAGAGAAACTGCTCCAAATTAATCACCTGGTTTACAAAGCAGGATGCAGTGTTTACTGTAATGTTTTTTTTCTCTGACACTCACTAAAATAAATACCTGGACTTTTTTACTCACATTTTTTTCCTCTTTAACATTGATCTGCATCTCTCCTCCAGCCTAGATAACAATTACTGGCAAAAGTTTAAACATGCAAATGAGGCGATGATGTAGTGACAGTAGTGACTTTTTTTTTCTTGATGATTCACCTCCAACATCACTAGATTGTCTTGTGCTGCATTATTTCTTGTGCCTCAAGGAAAAAGATCCGCTGTAAAATAGTGAATTGGTGGGCATGATGTTCTGAATTATTTTTCTGTACAACCAGTGTGCCGCCCAGCTCTAATAGCTGTTATTTAGTTAACTCGTGCCTTTTTTATGTTGCAGGATTTATGATACATCTTCAATGACAGAATCTCCTCTGCTGAAATCCATCAGGTGCGTTTACAAAATAAAACTTCTGTAATCGCTCGTTACTAAAAAGATTAAACAAATAATTTTATTTTATCTTTTTAAAGTGAATTTCTTGTGTTTGCAGGCACAACGTTCAGACGGGCCGCTGGCTGTCGAAGCTGTCGGCGGTGTGGGACCCCAAACAGGAAGACTGCTTTGTGGTGGGGAGCATGATGAGGCCCCGCAGGGTGCAGGTGTTCCACGAAAGAGGCCAGGTCCTGCACTCCTACACGGACAGTGAAAACCTGAACACGGTGCTGTCGGTCACCGCCTTCCATCCCTCGAGGAACGCACTGCTGGGAGGAAACGCCTCAGGGCGTCTTCATGTCTTCTCCAGCTGAGCTGAAGACCGGGAGCATCTGTGACCAACAGGTTTGTCAGGAGCTAATAAATTTCTACAAAACTTAATGTTTAGATACATCTCAACACTTGATAGTCTGGTCATTTTACACAGAGTTTCAGTGTAGTTGCATTATAAATGTACAGAGGAAAAACTTGTAATAACATGAAATTTTTTTATTTTGCAGCAGACACATTTATTGCTACTTTCAGTCAGTTTTCTATTTAAAAAAATATCCAGACATGGTTTCTTCTGTCATTAAATGATATAAAACACATCAGTTTCAGCTCACGTGGGAAACATCTATTTTACCTCTGTTTGTTTGTTTTCAGTAGCACACTTTATTCCCCTCTTTTCTCAGCTGATTATTTAAGCTCATGTTTGTGACTAGCTGCCAACCAGACTGATGGAGCTCAGTCTGCTCAGAGGTGCTCTGTTATGTAACCGCTGTGGAAAATGTTGGTGCAGTCTGTGCATTTTTTGTTTTACTTTAAATTATTGCATTGCTTACAACAAAATGACACTCGTGAAACAGTTGACATTTTGATAATCATCTTGCACAATTTCTTTTTTTCATTTTGTAGCTGATATTTTTTCCCCAAGAAAAAAACTATCTAAACATTAAAGTCTTTTAGTTTGGAAAAGTAAGTGCAGTGAAACATGTAGGTCAGTTAGTAAATCTTAAATGAATCCTGATTTTTTTTTTTTTTTATAATGTAAAGGCTTAAAAATGTTATACACAGCAGTAAAGTGATTTTACATTGTGTTAAATGTTATTTGGGTCCATAACTGAGTTCACCATGTATTTGTTTTCTTAAATTTATATGTGACTTTTGAATTAAACTGAATATTTTATACTCTGGGGTGTTGTGATATTATTGGTCTATGAAGAAAGCAGCAGTGTAACAAGATTACAGCGTCTGTGTTGGACAATAATTCAATATCAGCGTGATAACGTACACCACAGACTCAACTCCAGTACTCAGCACTACCCCTCTAACACTGTACAACACTGGAAATTAGCAACAAAATGAGCTCATCAGCTGTGAGTGAACAAGTGTCCACAGTTGGAAAAAGAAGCAGAAGAAATAAAAGGAAAGAAAGACTATCGTAATTCAGTGGTTTGGGTATCAAATGTTTCTCATATCTGCTCCACCGTGTAATAAAGTTCCACTTGATCAAACACTGAGTGTCTGAAAATGACAGGTCTAAAGTACTTGGAAAAAAATAAAGTATTCTTACTTTTACTTAACAGAAAATGACTTCGGTAAAAATAAATGTCACTGATGAGAAAGTTGGTCAATTTCTTTTGAAATAAAATATGTATATCGACTCAAATTTACTCTACTAGGTTTAGTGGAAATAGTTGACATGATTTAGTTGAGTAAATGCAACACTTTAGAGCACGAAAACAACTTTCATGAGTTCAGACAGAAATAATTTATAACAAATAACTAGCTGTTAAATTTACTGAACCAAACTGGCTCCACAAAACCAAGTTGATTAAACTGGTCAATTTCTTTAAAATTAAATATGTATACTGTCTCAAATTTACTATATTAGGTTTAGTGGAAATAGTTGACATGATTTAGTTGAGTAAATTCAACACTAAATGTTTTTAGAGCACATAACTCCTTTCATGATGAGTTCAGACAGATTTAATTTAAAACAAGTAACCAGGTGTTAAACTTCAAAGTAAAGAAGTAAAAGTATCATTTTTAGGTTTTTAAAAGTAAAGTA